TTTAGTAAAATATCTCATCCACCTTTGCTGAATATCCTCTTCTAAAAAAAGTACTTTTTGATCTTCATCCTTAATGCACTTCACTTAAATAAATTCTTACTACTCATATATCTTTGTTTGGCTAGCCTACACATACATCTTTCGCCCTCTTTAGTATATAATTTATTATATAAATCATTAAAACCTAAAATCTTTTCATCGCAAATTACTTTCATAGACTCCTTACAAATAACTTTGTATCTTTCCAAATTTTCAGATTTTTTACATCTAAACCAAATTTTTTAACATATGACTTTGCATGATGTTTGGGCTCCCCTCCAACAGACAGGCAGGGTCTTTTTTGCCAAGAATGCTCTGATAGTTCAAAAATGGCCAGAAAGCTTAAATTTTTTTCCATAAAAAGTACATTTTTACTTGTACATACACCCATGTGTATCCAACATGCTATCGTGATGTCAAAAAGCATTTAATTGAGTACTTATTAGTACATTTGAATGGGCAGGGGCGCACTGGCAACCAGGGCTTGGGCACGCTGGCAACCAGGGCTAAGGCACACTGACAAGCAAGTGTAAGGCACATCTAAATATTCTTTAGAATCAAGCAATCGAAGGCACAAGCACTAAATAGCTTCACTTATTCACGAATTCTTTTTATCTTATATGCATCAAGATGCAGGAAGGTCGAAGCAACATACTATGCTTAGAACTAGGCACAACCAATCAAAGGCAAGTGTTATGTCTCTCGCATGGTGTTGAAGAAAAATAAGATTTCGCATCCAAACAACAAGCCTTTATATTCTTTTGTTAAGAATTATAGCACAATAGCCATGTCCCACACGTTTGCTAAGGGAAAAATGCCTCTGTCTCTAATTCGAGCTTCATTTGTCATCATTAGATCTTATCTCTCTTAAAATACCTTGTAGAACCACCAGCATGCAACTCTAAGATTACAAATCATTCAATGAGTTTGGAATGCAAAGATGTCTACCCTTAAATAAAAAGCCATCTAGAAGTTGCATGTTATCATCATAATAACAGCACTAGTTAAACTTGTGGTGCAAATCATATTTTGGTCCCAAAATTATGGACCCTAGACCTATTCTAAATATCCATTTTGTGCAAAGTTCTATCAATTTAAAAAGCATACATTTGTGCCCCTTTTGAAAAGAACCAACATACCACTTTTAATGGATTAAATAAGAATCATGATACCATATGATGATTTCCTATAAAGAAAGTCGGGCACATAAAAGATTAACCAAATCGCTAGCATCACTAGGCTTACCACCCTATTGCTTGGGGGCAAAATTATGGATCAGCATTCTTTGTTCATTCTTGTTAAGTGTTGCTCGAAGGGTTACTTCATATAAATATTTTTGCTTGGAAACATCCATTTAACTATTTATTTATCAATTTTTCTTCTTAATTTTTCAACATTAATCTTACATACACTATTATTGGTGCATATTGAACACTCCAAAGTACATATCCAAACTACCCAAGTACTTTTTACTATCTTATTTCAATAAATATTACACCCACAATCCCTCTCACATAATCATTCCTCAATCAATTCTATTTTTGTTTTATAATACGTATCTTAATATTCTCAATTTTCTCACATTAAACTTAGCTATTAGTGGTTACTTATCAGCCAACAGTTAGATCCAAAGAACAAATCAAGTCTAATTGCAATCTCATAAAATTTAAATTTAGGAAAACTCAAGTTAAACAAAAAAATTCAAAAAGACTTGATTAGACTACTCAAATGGAACCAAAATTACACGTATGTCCATGCATGTGTATGTGGGAGCACAAGCCACAAATACATAAAATAACTCTAAAAACACAACTTGACTATTAAGAGTAGTCAATTGGTCATACAAATAAGTAATTTTCTTTCATTCATCAACTAATAATAATCAATTACAAACCAAGGGCACCTATTTATAGAAAGAGTTATAAGGATAAGGCAAATATAATCCTATCCAATTTTAACAACATTCAAAAAATAACATCATCTAAGAAAAAAGATAATTGAACTTCAAAAAATAAATATTATTAAAAACAAGGGAAATTCGTTCTTAAATAAAAATGGGCCTTAGAAAGCTTGAAAGGGCTCAATTCTTTATAATTGACCTATGGCCAATTAGGTTTTTGTGGGATAACTTGGCCTGATTAGAGGCACGTATTACATAAATCTCATAGGATGCAAATAACTCTTTTGATAAGAATTAATATATATCTAATCATCCAAAAAAATCAGGACTTAGCTCCTACAATTCATCTTTAATCATCCAATTATCAATCAAAGGAGGTTCTTCATCCCACTAAATTTGAATATTTGCTCAACATTTTTTCAAGTATTGCTGTGGGGCTATTTGTTTGGCTAAAAAAAGGAATACAGAGTAAAATGAAATATAGAACACAAAGAATTGCAATGTATTTGAAATGTTTGTAGTTGTTTGGATGAGTATAAAATAAAAACAATTGATTACTTTTTGGTTTAGTTTGAAGTAAAGTGAAAGCAGTGCAAAGCCCAACAATGGTGGTAAATGGCAATTGGCGGCTGGCAATAGGCGACGGTTAATGGAAATGAGTGAAGGTGGGTGACAGTCAACGATGACAGTAGAGTTGGCTTGTGGTGTATTTGGAATTTGGCCAAAGAATAGCAAGCTTAGAATACAACAAAACAATAACTATAGAGTGAATTTAAAATTCACCAAAATTTTACTTTGCATTATTTTATTCATACAACCAAACACTGAAATTTCTAAATTCCCTACATTTGTAATACTTTACAATCACTTTTTATCAAACCAAATAGCCCCTTTATCTAAAATACACTTTCAACATCTAAGCAGCCAAATGTAGCTAGAATGATAAAATATGTAGAAATAATAATTGTAGTATAAATCCTTCATACAAGAATCAAAAAACATAATTCTCAAGTTTGATTAGGCAATATATCTTCAATGTTGAAAATATAATTAATAAACATATCAATAGTTAAAAATAAAATATGAGCATTGAAACTGATTTTTTTACTAATTTTTAAAGGAACACGGTATTTTCATGCAAAGTCTTATACATGATTTGCAATAAGTGTTCAACGCATATACAAATCATTACAAATTCACAAGCACAATCTAAAAATTCACATGTTTAGAATATTTCTAATTATATAAATTCAATATGTTCTCAAACCTCATCATAAAATGTTGTGCAAATGATACACCCAAATCTACAAATGAAAGCAGTAGAAAATACCTACAAGCATTCTAGGGTTCCAATCTCTAAATAATTTAAAATGGCATATTGCCCATAGATTTATATATAGCATAATTGTACACAAATTCAACAATAACATGCCGATCCCGATAATCTAGACCTTTTTTATAATAAAATCTATTGATAAATATCAAAGCTTCAATTTATTACTTCAGTTTGACCATCAATTTGAGGGTGGAAGATTGATGAAAAGTTAAGGTTAGTATCGATTAATCATAAGATTTAAAAATAAGAAATAAATTTGATATTTTTATCATATGTTATGCATTGGGAACCCCAATCGCCTAACTTTTCCTAAGAAAAGTTTGGCAATAGAAAATACATATGTCGTTTTTAAGCATTACATAAGCATTGAATGTAATGAACAATTCTAAAGATCTGTCTATTATCACTAGTTTATGATCAAAACATCTAACAATCCTAGGCAATCCTAGTACAAAGTTCATACACAAATCAAGCAATGAGAAAAAGGGCCAAGAAGGAAATTGTGCATAAGAGCATGTTGTTTAATAGTTTCTCCTATTTGATGTGCACAAAATTAACTAATAACCATAATAATATACCTTCTTAATGAAGGTCAGTAAAACCTGCATTCAAGCCATGCCATAAACATGTATTTCTAATTATAATGATTACAAAAAAAGGTCCGAGGAATGCAAAACCCAACTACTTTTATAAAAATATCCATCTCAAACCATACAAGTAGTAAGAAGGAACATAAGACATCCTTTTGATCATATTAAATCAAACAAAAGTCATAAAATGCCAAATACTCTTCTTGTATTCTATCACAACCCAACACATTAATGTGCAATGATGTTAAGAGTTGGAAAGCATAGAGTATTACATCGGTTGCTACATTATGAATGTCAGGTGAATGATTTAGGACAATGTATAATCTTGAAGGTACACATTCCACTAGACATGCCTACTACTTATGCCTACTACTTTATGTATTTGGGTAATCACATATTTCAAGTCCTAAAAAGCATAACTGATAATAAATTCTTTTGGTAACAAATAATATTGTAAACATCTTAAAGCTTAAATGAGAGTATAAAATTATCTATATAAATAGAGCATCCATGTTTAGTCTCATTCAACTTCTCGCAAAAGTAGGTGACTAGAGAACTTTATTTTACTCAAAATGCCACATATACTAACACGAGATGGATCACAAAATATCTTAAACACTTTCACAAAGTCAGTGAGTCTGTGAACTAGTGATGCAATATTATTTTCTCAAAAGTTTTGATAGCAAATGATGTCCAACATGCCTCAAAATATCACATGCCAAGCATATTGCTTGAAGTAAGGAACATAGATTCTTTTTTCCACAAGTTTATGCATAAAACACTACGGAAAATGCAAATTATCAAGCACACCTTACAACCTGACTAGTTCAACTAAAATGTGTTTGGGTGTACAGGATGGGAAAGAAAAAAAATCTACAAGCTTACAAATTGCTTACCAAGATAATTTGATAAATAAAAGGATAGTCTCAGTTATGCCAAATTGAATTGAACCAATTACAAGTCCTAATAATAACCACCTGTCATAATGAATTATTTTTAACATCAATATATATATATAGTTCTTTCCTAAGACTGTTCGTAGCACTTGGGCATTCACCTAGGCAGGAAAATCACACAACCGTCAAGGGGTTCAACTATAAATTGGAAAAAACATTTTCAAATGCAGTCTTCATACCTTTGGAGCAGCCATTGGATATTCTTCAGGGAGAAAAAGTTCAAGTTTAAAAACTCCTCCTAACCAACGAAACAAAAAAAGGAAAAATGTATCAAATTCTAGTTAGAAAAATAGAAATATGCATATGCTTACTTCTTTATGGTATAGAATGAGTAACTATACAACGACATAAAAAGTATCTCAGCACTTTAACCTACTTTAAATATATCCATCCCTAACCAAGCATTGTCATTATCATTAGCCTTATCATATATATTTGAGGACAGTTTTTTGAATCAATTTACTTTGTCATTACTTCTAAGCATTGCTTGGGATGCTAACTCTAATGCAAATTTTTTTAACAATTTCAAGCCTTATTATATTTGGTCTATTATTTCCATTATATTTCCTCCACTAATACACGTAAAATTTAAATCATGAAATGTGCAAAAACCTACATGCATAAACAAAGTTTTAATCAAGTAGCAAATGAGAGCAAGTTCATTATGATTATAATCATGAAAAAAAAGATACCTTTTTTTTTATTTTTTATGGAGATATTTAAAAGATATTATGGTCACGTATGTAAAGAGTTAAAATATCTAATTGCCAAATCGAGATGGTCTAAATCAATAATTTGTCCAGAGTGGTCTATACAATCACAAAACCAAAAGCCCAAGACCATAAAGAATTACATTTAATAGGAAGTATCTTTTTTGCTTAAAGATAAAGCTTCACTGAAGACCGAAGGGTATTCATCTTGAAAATACAACAAAACTCGAAAAAAATATTAAATACAACCATCATATATGAGTGAAATTGGAAACAAGGCACGCTAATCAATAAGCTGGGAAATGCCAACGATGGACAAAGGTAAAATAACACCAACAGTGAATCAGATTCGTAGAGAATATTTACGGATATGTAATTAACTACCAGAATTACAGATTTAGAAATTCTCACAATTAAGCATCATCTCTAATAAATAAGCTTATTCATAATCCAACTTGCTCTTAAAATCAAGGTTGTGAAAACTAGACTGGACATAAAACTGGACAAGAGGTTCAAAATTCAATGGTGCAACCAGGGTTAAATCGGATGACATAATAAATATTAAAACTATTCAACTATAATATAAATAATATAATAAATAATTTTTTTAAAAGTGAATATATAATAAACTCAATAAAAACTATTACTTAAAGATATATAAAGTATGATAAGAAGCTTGATTAGCCATTAATATAGATATAAGCACATGTATATTATAAATGTAAATATATGAGCATTAAACATATTTACCAAATTTTTAAAAATATATATATAATAAATGTATAAATATAAATATAATTTATAGTAAGAATATATTTAATATAATAAATAAATTATATTATTACTTTGTAATGCACTTTATAATAAATTTATAATACATATTAAAAAATTTTGCAATCCAATCAAACCAAATGTGTAGCCCCATCCAACCCAAGTTCTAATTCTAATCCATACAGTATTCATGGCTTCAAGCAACTTTTTTAGTTCTACATCATAGGAGACTAAGGGGAGTTTAAGATAGTTGTATTTTATATAGTTTAAAAGCACACAACCTACAACAAGACATGCTATGAGAGTTGACATGTATATACCATGGTTGAATTCATCTCCATGTTTAAAAAATATGCTTTTAAAATTTTTAAAAGCTTTTTTATTATTTAAAAGATAATTAGTTAAAATTAAATATTTTTTAAAAATGACTGGTTATATAAAATCGGGACCAGTTTTACTGGTTTTCCAGCTCAACCGGTGGCTCGAAGCAATTTGAGCAAATTTGATACAAATCTGGATCCGGTTTTTGAATTTGACCGGACTAGTAACTTGGCCAGTTCACAGTCAAACCGGCCGGTCAGGTCCGTTTTCAAAACATTGCTTAAAACTATTTCATGGAGGGTCTAAGACAAAAATGTAAAATATAGATCATTATTGTAACCATAGTGACTACTATAATCATTATGGCAGCCATTGACTGGATGCTTATGTAACAGTAACAATCAAATTCTCACAACAGATACTTTTATTGAGAATGGTAATACCCTATGCGATCCTTTTTAAAAGTAGCTGTTTTACTGCTGGATAATTAATATCATTGAGGCAGGAAATAACTTCACAGCCTCATCAACAAACAAATTCTCATACAAATTCACCTAATATCCATATTTAATCAGCTATCAATTAAATGTCATATAGTCAAGTGCAGCTCAAGCACAATCGAATCTGGCACATCACATCACAAAACCAGCAATTTAAATATTAAATCTAGCCAAGAAAGAGCAACCTTTTGAAATAACTGATATAAACATAGAACAATGAATTATCGACAGTAAACTACATGTAAGAACCAAACTATTACATAATGATTAAAAAAATGTAACAATGAATTATCCACAGTAAAACTTCAGTACTTGTAAGAAACAAAGTACTACATAACTGATATAAACATGGAAAAATGAATTATCCACACAAAAAATACATTACTTGTAAGAACAAAACTACTATACAAAGGCCTAAATTCCAAAAACAGCAAATACAGATACTAAAATATAACTTTCTATAAACAAATACTTACAAATATTCCCATTTAGGAAACATTTTGGCGACTAATATATGAGTTTTTTTGTCCTAAGCAGCAGAGCAATGTACCCCATCATAATCAATAGCCTTATCCCAACTAGTTGGGATTGGCATTTTGAGTCATCATTTTCCATTCATTCATGAAATGTTGCATGAGTTTTTAAACCTTTCACAAATCCTTTTGAACAATATCGATCCATATTACATTCGGTCTACCGCATTTCTTTGATGCATCCAATCAAGACTTATGATCAGCATCAAAAACATGAGATTGATTAGTCATTTTCACACTTTATTAGTGATAGGAAGTTTTAGGTTTTTCTTTGATGTATTTGAACTTACCCATTTGATAACTTTTAGGTCACTTTTATTTAAGTTTATTATGTGCAATTATTATTAAAGTATTTTTACCATAAATAAGACCCTGGAGTTTGGATTCTGGATTATATGATTGATAACATAATGAATTTGAATTTTACTCCTAGCCCTTCCAAACAGCCATCTTTTTCTATTTTCCAACTCTCAATTTCTTCCTTTTATCCATTCTATCATGTCTCATCCGTCACCTCCCCTCAAGTCTCTCTTTCAGCACTTATTTGTCTCTTCTCTCAGCCCCCTTCCATTGTATAGCTCTATGTTTGATGTCAAGCACGTCAAAACAGTTGTTAATAAGTCAACTCCCACATTATCAACAAACTATCATCCTTTAAGCTTACTATAGACCAATTTGAGATGATGGTGTTGAGGACATTGATAATTTTCCGAATCTAGACAAACTAACATTTGCTCTAGTGCATTCTAACTCCTCAAACATTTACCTCAAGTGATGCCACCTATACTAGATATTTTAAATCCCATTGCTGAACAGACTAATAATATTAAAATAATAATAATTTCCTTCCTAATGAGGACCCACAAGAAGATTCCACTTTGTAAGACGAATTCCATATCCTCCCATCATATACACAATTCTTTATTGAAATATAATGCTCAGCGATGAAAACAAGTATGGGTTATCTCGCTTCCTTTTTATTTCCTTTCAATCCTTGACATGAATACTCCCAAAGTCAACCCCCAACATGAATCATCTTATGTACATATATATCCATTTAAGTCACCCTCACTGAATATCATTTTTTCTTTAGATATATATCGTAATATATAAAAAAATATAAAACTCAACAAGGAAAAAAATGAGAGCAAGAGAAAAGGATGAATTTTGAGGAGTCATAATAAGAGATTATTCAGATAAAAAATTTAACCCTTCAAGCAAAGTGAACTCTGAAGGGAGGGAAAAAAAGGACTCCACTTAAATTGGAAAATCAAAAGCTGCAACACACGGAGTTCACTTTACTAAAATAAATATTACCATACATCTAGCATGACTATTTACCCAAGTTTACGCTAACAAACCATACAAGGGAGAACAGAAACAAAGATCGACTAGCATGCTGTTACAAAATAAACAACAAAGCAATCAATCAAAATAGGAGGGCAAGCCACCTTCATATGGAGATTGTGACGGCCCAAGAATCATCACATTAAAGTAACGCATGTTCTCTTCCGAGGGCGACGCACTGATCCCTGGAGCTGCAGGACATCGGCAAACCAACAAATAAAAAAAGAGGGGCAAAAGTCATATAGATTAAAATTCATCACATGAGCAAAAGCCCTAATTCATCAAATATCAGCTAAATTAACCCCAGAAACTCAAAATCAACGGTTCCAACTGATAAGATTAGACAAAGCAAAAGGAAAGACAAATTACCTGGCTCACTAAGGAGACGCTGCGTTTCCTATCAAAACACAAGATCGATAAACCAATAAACGTCATGGTCCAAAAATCACGATAGAAACAATAGATAAAAAAATCCAGGTCTTGGCAATAGGCAGATGCACTTATACTAGTCTCAAGCATGCAATTCATCTAAGATCTTGTAAGATCGGAATAGATCTATTACCTTGATAATCCTACGGGGCAAATTGCTATTTGCCATCTCCTAGATTAGGGTTTGCTCTTCCTCGAGTGAAGGGGACGCGACGAAGAGAGAGAAGAAGCGAGCTAATGGCTTTTCTTATAACACTCATTATAAAAGTTGAAAACAAAAAGAGCATTAGTTCTCCCGTCGGGAAAATTTGGAGTCGAATATTTTCTCTCGCAAATTTAATCAGGTTGTATTTTAAAATTATTTAAACTTTATTTAAAACAAATGCAAATATTTAATGATTTTGCTGTCGTCTAGTCGAATTTTTATCAGGTGCCTACACCAGATACAGCTCTGCTTCCGGAGGAATCGTAGCATTTGGCCTGTACAAGTAGATGTTAATTTCTATTTTATTTTTTATTTTTTCTTGCCAGCCTGATCGATTCGGTCCAAAATATTCCATTTCAAATTTAGTGTTTCAAATTGGCACTCTTTTTAAAATGAAATATCGCGAAAGTTTCATAATTTTTAAGATTTCAGCTCAAAATATATTTTCATAGCTGTTGAGAAAAAAAGAAACTATGAAAAGCCGATAAAGATAATGATATGCAAACATCCGGAAAGAGAAAGAGGGATAGTTGAAGTTGAAAGAAGAATAGGTTGCAGGAATAACAGTTTTTTCTGTATATTTAGGGAATATGTTGAAGGTTCTGAGGGGGCAACGCCCCCTGCCGAGGGTCCGAGAGGGCAGCGCTCCCTGCGGGGGTTTCCGGGGACGCTGCTCCCAGAACAAATTTTTATTGTAAGAGTAATTTTAAAGTTCTGTTTGTTTTCAAAGTTTGTAAGTCGTTTGTACTCCATGATTTTTAGTAGTAAAAGTGCAGTCGTTTGTACTCCGTGATATTTTAGTTCATTTTAAAGCTTTCTCATCTTTTTCGCAAATATGAATTACATAAACTTTAAAACTTTCTTAGCTTATTTATATGCCTTAGCTTCTCGGTACACAAAATGGGAACTCGGTACCATTCGATATAGCTTGGTACCATCTAGTTAAAAACATAATCATTTGTAAATAAAGAATAGAATTAACATTGGTACCGACAAGTTCGTACCGACAAGTTCCGAGAATGGTACCGACTAGTACAGATCAGTACCAAGCAGTATCGAGCGGTACCAAGTTACAATATTGAGAGGGACCAAATTTTTATACCTAGCATGATACCGAGCGCTGCAAAGATGTACCGACCAGTACCGAGCTATACCAAGCGGTAGCGAGTTTCAAAACCGAGTGGTACCGAGCATTGGTACTTAGAGTTCTTCGATATAAATATTGAATTGATATTAAGGGAAAAATTATGTTTGGTACTGCTATGTATCAATCATATTGATTTAGTTGTAAGAAATATGATTAAGAAATATATAGTTATTTATTATTGCTTATTGAGATATATAGAGCGGAACCAAGCAATACCAAGCGGTACGGAGCAGTACTGAGCAATTTCGAGTGGTACCGAGCGGTACCGAGATCTACAATATCAAAATAAACAAAACATCACATAAATTAATGCAGTGGTACAAAGCATATTTTCAGTTTTGATTAAAATATCTACCGATGCATGCCAAAATTTCAATATAACAGCCAATATAACAGATACATAGCGGTACATAGCAGACCTTATTTAAGAATATGGTGTTATTCTATCGGTGATGTTTTTTCTAATAATCATCTACAATGAAAAAAAACATAAATAAAGCAAAGTATCTTCATTCTTCCCCCAAAGTGTACAGAAAAAAATTATCAATATACAAATAATAGTTCAAAATTACATATTCCCTAAGTGTACAGAAAAAACTATTATTCCTCGTTTCTTCATCGACTTTTCCTCCAAACCAGTCTTCATTTTCATGCTTCTCCTCCTCCTAACCAATAGTAATCGCATCGGCTTTTCCTTTATCCAGACCAGTTTTCATCTTCAACGGCTTCTCCTCCTCCAAATAAATCTTCATCTTCATCGCCTTTACCTCCTTCAGATCAGTCTTCATCTTCGTCGCCTTGGCCTCCCCTAGACTAGTTTTCATCTTCATCGCCTTGACCTCCTCCATAGCAGTCTTCATCTTCATCTTCATCGGTTTTCACTCATTTTTCTTTCTCAACATCTATGAAATGTTTTTTTGAACTAAAATTCTAAAAATATGATGTTTTTGTGGCCCTTCATTTAAAAAAAGAGCGTCAATGCTCAGCCCTAAAATTTGAACATGATTTGTTATGGGCCGGGTTACTTATGCTGGAAAAAAGCTTTAAATAAGAAATATAAAAGAATATACACATGTATAGTACATGTGTCATGATTTTATTGAAGTATGGACACAAAATTATGTATAAATTCCGCACCTAATAAAAATTATGTTTAGTCACGATATTTCAAGCCAATATTTAAGATGTTTGGCCTAGAGGTCTAAACGACGAGTCAAATCGAATATTGATGTTATTGACCTGAGCCAATTTACCTCACAATGAGCTACTTCATAGTGAGATCGAACTCGACTCGTATAGCTCGAGCTCGGCTTGACTACTCGATTCACAATGTCTAAAACATCTAACAATAAGAAGAAGATGAGGGCCTGATTCGAAGTCGTCTGAAATACCAGGCAAGAGGAAGAGTGATTCGAGCTCGATTACACGACTCATTTTTTAGGTGCAGACTGACAAACAAGAAGAAGGGCCAAAAGGAGAAGAAGAAGAAGACAGCTGTTGACGTGATAATGCCATGGAAGAAGTTTTTTCATTTTTTTTCTTGACCTCCGATTAAGTCCGTTTGCAGCTTTTTTTTTTTTTTTTCTTTTAGCTCGCAGCTTCATAAGCTCAGCTTGTGAGCTCCTTATCAAGTCGAGTTTGAGCTTGTTCGGCTCACTTGCACCCTAGTTTCGCCCAAAAACATCGAGATTTGATGTAGTAATAAGAAAAACATGTTTTGTATTTTTTTAAAAATTATATGCAAGTAATGTAATAAAATAAATAAATAAAGAAAAAAAATATAATTTTATTTTTTATTTTAAACCAAAATTATAGCATATCAATAAAGTAGAAATAATAGTAGTTAAAACAAGCACTAAAATAAGCAATTACTAAAATAAAACTACCTAAATCCACAAATAAAATCAAATAAAATACGAAAAAAAATAAACAAATAAAACTACCTATTAGACTGTACAGTTGACAAATATGCTGTTGTGGTAAATACTCTTATGAGACATGCTATAATAAAGTTAATGACCAATAAATTTAACAATTTAAACTCAATAACTAACTCATATATATAAGCATAAAGAATAAGATATACATGTAGCATGAATAAATCAAAAAGGCTAAGAGTGACTAAATACCTATAGATAATCAATATATAAATAGGTAAATGAAACATGTCAAAATTTTGTATAGTATAGGTTATAGTATTGTTGCGGGCTAGAATATACGCATCGATAGAGTTAAAAAATTTTAATCTCAGTGTTGTACGAATATTAAGCACACAAACAGAAGAAAAGTGTAACACCAAAATTTTTATATGGAAACTATGGAAAAGGAAAAAAAATCATAGGGCCACACCTAATTGAAAGGATTCCACTCTAGTATTTGCTTAGATTACAAGTGACTAACTCGTCTCTGAAATTGAGGACGATCAGATTACAATAATCAACTCCCAAATTGAAATTTAGTTACAAACAGAGATCTGAAATCCGGCGATGTTTGCTTGTCACGCGGAAATCTTGCTTCAATTGACAGTCGGGCAGAAATTCGACGTCAGTCAACAATTGGGCAGAACTTCAGCATCGGTCGGCTATCAGGTAGAAGTCCGGTGGTGGTCGAGGAGTCTGGTGACAAGAAAGCTCTCTTCCTTCTCTTCTCTTCTGGCTTGGGTTCCCTCTCATGAGAAATGAGGGTTCTATTTATAATTTTCTAAGAGTGGCATGACCAATAAATAAGAGAAGGATCAAGGGTAAATTGGGAGTGGTTTGAATGGACGACCGATGTTAAATCCCTTGATCATGGACCATTTATTGAGTATTTGAATATCTTAATGATATCAGAATTTGGCAATCTTGGGCTCGTTGGATTCAACTCATTGATCCACTTGATTCGACTATAAGTACACCACATTTGGAAACTATTTCATAATCCAAATTATGGATTGAAACTTCCAAATGTGCTTCGAGTCTTTGATTTGGACCCATTGGAGCTCAGATTGGGTTGAATTTGGTGTCGTTGAGTTCATATTTTTGAGACCTTCAGTTTGACTATAAGTTTGCCAAAATTAAAGTTCATATGATTTTTTATTTAATTTTTGAAGTTTCCAACTTTATTTTGCTTTGCAATTAGTGCCTGGTCAAGAAAATTCTTTGATGAATATCAGTTGTCCATCATTTTCAGAAGATGAAGCATCAAAAGTCCGAAAATATATGTCACAATATTTCAATTTAATCGAATCGCAAAAAATGTCCAAAAATTACATTCCAAAAAATATAATTTTACTCAAATTTGATCATAGGAGCTCCATTGAGCTTTAAAATTGCTTGAATTAAGTTCGAAATGTCGAAAAATGGTTTCAAGGACCCAAAAAATGTCTAATTTGGACTGTCCGGGCCAAAAAATTGGGCACATAAGTGATTTGATGGCCGAACTAGCCGGCCATCAGCCGGCTTTGAAAGGGCGCCCCCCTTAGAGCATGCGATCAATGAAGGCAGTTTGTAATGTTTTTTTGTGGGGCCAACGCCCTTTTTTTAATGGGGCAATGGCTATAGTTACCCCTTTATATTATTTTATTTTTTTTTATTTTTTATGATTTTCTTTAAAAATTCAAAAAATTGTCATTTTTGAGCCCAAAAAAAATCCAAAATTTTATATAATATTCTAAAAATTTTAAAAGCTTTTAGAAGACGCTTTCCCTCTCTTTTTCAAAAAATTTTGCCCCTTTTTCATCATATAAATACCCCCTTTCTAGTGTCCCTCTCCTTATATAGAAGTTAGAATTTTTGTAACCTTTCATTTTCTTTCTTCCTCATTTTTCTTGTTACTCTATATGTCTTCAACTATTTTTGATAGGTGGCATCTCCAACTCAAATTCAATGCCCCTCTTTAATGTAAAAGTTCAAATGGGCGACCTTACCTCTACCAGAATCCCCATAGCCAAAGGAAATCGACATG